CAATGCCAAGTAGTAGTTGATCAATGATTGAATGGTGATGCCATGCATGACATCCTTCAACCTTTTCGCACATAGTTTAATAATGTAATGGTCATCTTATAGTTACTAAACAAGGTCTCATTAAAATCTTAGATTTTTTCCAACTAATTAATTAGACCGTGTAAAAAGTCAATGCTAAAATAACTGTCACGCCTCCATTTCTATTAATGAACATGATTTAAATAAAATTATCCGATCATGTCACAAAATGCGTTTTAAAGTTTCAACAATCCATAAGTTAAAGATGTGGGGAACACAAATATGGTATGTTGGGTTATTATCATGTAATCAATCATTTAGAGGGTAATTACATCCCACATTATTGCTACAGTTACAGCTTCTGAAAATGAAGTGTTACAATACATTTCCATCGGGTGGCCTCACAAGCGAGGCTACATAGTGCTAAAGTGCCGTGATTTGACCCACCTAAAATTATAAATTATAAAGTTTATAACTATCTATATACAAAAAATATTTAGGACTTACCTTAAATATTTTGAAGTATCTACCTTAATGTGTTCCGGAAAAAAGAAAAGAAAAGAAAAAGATATAAAACTATATAGTATAAGACATATTATATGTGTGGCATTATAGATAATAACAGAAATATTATATTTGTTGCATGAAAGAGTTTCACATTGACTCCAATAAGAAAACGGTGAAGTGGTTTTCTACGCCATGAGTTTGCCGGTTTAGACGGACTAATTCTAAGTATAAGTTGGTTTAGTCAAAATATTAAGAAAGTACCCGTTTAGGTTCGGTCCTTTCACTACCAATTTTTATACATGTTGAACCACTTATTTTTCACGAGCAAACCGGCTAATTCTAAGTATAAGTTGGTTTAGTCAAAATTTTAAAGAAGAACCGGTTTGGGCTCGGTCCTTTCATGACCAATTTTTATACATGCTGAACCACTTATTTTTCTAGTTGAACCGACCCGGTTGAATTGGGTTTTCTGTTGAACCGACTTGGTTCAAATTAGTTAGTGAACTACGTGGTTTTCTATTCTAGACTCTCCCCTAGGTGGCCTGATACTTCATTTTATCAAATCAGTTTTCATTCCATAAAAACATGTTTATGTATAAGAATAATGCAAAATTGAATTTCTATATATTATAATGTAATATTATAAATAGTAATGTAACTTACTTTCAACAACAGAGTCAACATAGAAAATAGGTACATCATATTTTTTTTAGGACGGAGTAATAGGTACATCATGTAATACAACAGTAATATATGGTATGTTTCTTTTGTAATCAAGCTTACTTTTAGTTGCCTTCCTAGCAAGCTTTGTTTTGAAATTGCTGATGGAGTATTACATGTTACCATACGAATCTTTAATAATCTACCACTAAAATTTCACATATTCTTCACAGTTAAAATAAAAATAAAGTGTATCACTCATCTTCACCTTCGATGTTGGTTTAGGTATATAAAACAACATCATCATTTAAAACACAACTATTGATGTGTATATTATTTTGTTTCTATTTGAGTTTAGCAACCATTGCTTGACTTTCAAGAGTTGCTTCATATTGCCCCTTATGAAGGTCCATTGATATATTCACTACCACATAAACTGAGCATTTAAAAACAACTAAACTTCTTATGACTGATCTTTTGAATATAGTAAATGTAATCTACTTTATCATAAGTAACCAAATCACTTTTTATCTAACCATTAAATACTTTATTTTTCTTCTCTATGAGCTTAACCATTCTTTCTTGATGTGTAAGAGTTGTTTTATGTCTTATTCTAGCAACGTCCATTGGTCTACCTATTACCATAGAAACTAATCATTTAAAAAGGTATTTTGTACAAATAACTGATTGATTTGTCACTAAAAACAATTAAACTACACATAACGGACTCATCACATATTAATTCAATCGTTTAAGTTTTACTACTTAAAATCATTAAGTAGTATATTCAAGTTAGCAATGCCACATTAGGAAAATAATCTACTTTGCATCATAATTAAATAAATCACTTTTCTTGAACCATGAAATGTAAGTAAGAAGACAATCCAATATATTTATATGCATCAAAAACATCATATAATTAACAATAATTTTCACACTACGTACTTTTCAAACTACATGTATCTATACATTTTTACTTAAAAAACATCAAATTCTAATTTCAAGTAACCAAGGAGTCTTTAGTAACTCTAAACGTAATATAGTTCCTAATTTTCATTCTAGTAATTTGTTAAAAATACTTCTAATCTCCTTTTTAACACTACATGAGTAGTTTGTGCTCCAGTCCTCTTTCTACTATTTTGATAACAATGTAGCTTCATAATAAACTGTAACACCCGTTTTACAAGATGCATCAGTGGTGACCTAAAGGAGTCGATGTTTGGTTTTTGAAGAAAATTATTTGCCACGACGAGTTGTATGTATACCCACGATGTGGAATTGATTTTTATGATCGCACTTTTCTAGTGAGCACCACAACGTGGCAAGTAGTGTGCCACGACGTGGTTGTTGTGGCAGCCCAAGCCCATGATCTTTTAGGGTTTCTTCTGTATTTAAAGCCTCTAACTTCAAGGTTAGGGCATCCTCTTCAACCTCCAACCTTCCAAAATGAAACCCTAGCCTCCATTTCACCACTTTGAGCTTCTCATCTCCTCTTTCCTCCATTTATGAGCTTTTGGTGTTGATTTTGATGCCTTGAAGAAGAAGAATGTGTTCTTGGTGCATAGATATAGCAATCAAGTTTCCTCACCACCGTGGAGTATATATTTTGGAACATTATATGTCATCAAGTTCCAACCTTTATGTGTCATGCTTCTAGATCTAGGATTTTTATGCTTTGTTCTTTATGTTTGGGGTAGTTTAAGTGTTTGGATTCCATAAAGTTGGCAACTTTATGGATCCTTGGGGTCCCTTTGAGGTTTGGTGTGCTAGATCTGAAGTTTAGATGATTTTTGGTTCCTGCATAAGAATTTGACCTCATTTTCACCATTCTGACCTAACCAAGTTCAAGATATTCATTGGACATGTATGAACATAAAGCAAGGGTTTTATGAAGCTTATTGACATTTGGAAGTATTCTGGAAGAGATAAGTATATGGCTTAATGGATTAAGGGATTAATCCATTAACTGGTTTATGGATAGTTCCCACGACATGGCAACCTGTTTACCACGTCATGGCGAGTGGATTCTTCATGACTGTTTTGTCGAAGGATTGCTATTTCATGGCAGGTTCATGGACATGACATGGTGATCAGTTGTGTTGATATTGGTTGTTGACTGTTGAGTTTTTGACCAGTTTTACTTTTGGTCAAACTTTGAGAGGTGTTGAGCTATAGTCTGAGGTTTAGCTAATGATTGGTATAGGAGGTTCATGTAGCTAATTCTATAGGACTTTGAGTAGTAGATTTCAAGTCTTCGTTCAGGTGAGTCTTCTCACTATATTACCTATGTCATAGTAGGGTGCATACCAGACCAACTGGGCCTTATTTGTTGATTGTTGTTTATATTGTTGTGATGTATGTGATATTTAGGACTGTTGATAGTCCTCGGGACTTTTCATAGTCTCAGGGTTGCTGATAACCCATAGATGATTATTATGCTATGTTGTATGTGATATTTTGGGTTACTCGCTAAGCTTTGTGCTTATAGTTGTCGATTCATTTTTTTCTGGTACTTATCAGATTGCAAAGGCGGGATTGTACACACATCAACAGTTTTATGATTTGAGATTTCGCATTGGCTTACTTATAACTCTGTTTTTAAATTATGGCTTATGAACAATTGGTGGACTTGAATGTAACTTTAATAAAATGGGTGTTTATTTTTTTTTAAAAATGATTTTTTTTCTTATAGATTTTGGGACGTTACAAGTTGGTATCAAAGCCCGCGTTTGAGGGATTTGGATGAACACTCATGTGATTCCAAGCTCAAACTAAGGATCTGAGGATTTCCACAAGTCTATTGAAAAATATAATTTTAAAAAGGAGAAAAGAGAATGCGATGTGTACAATCAGCTAGAGATCAAGTAAGTGATTCCAAAAATATCCATACATGTTTGATGTGATATTGATGTTATAGTCTGAATTTCATGCTAGAAGTATCCAAAGGATCTGCTCAGGGTTGCATGCTGGAGTTCCTGCTTAGCATAGATGCCTTTTGTTTGTGATATGTGAAGTATTAGATATAAATGATAGTGTGTAGGCTAAGGATCTTCAGGAATTTATGTTAGGATTTCCTGATCTTTATGATGCCTTATTGTCGGTTGGTTTTTTCTTCTTGAAAGTTGCTTGCTTTGTTCTATGTGAAAACTATATTGATGTTAGTTAACTATTAGGCGAATACATTAAGTTGCATGCCACGAAGATTAAATAATTTTAGAATGTTTGATTTGGCCCTATTGGCGCAGCTCTTATCTGAGTCCAACCATTGTAGTGCGGGATCTTTTAGTCGAATGACTGTTGAATCCTCGTTGCATGTACTTGTATTCATAAGATAGTTAGTTGGCATTTGTTGAAGTTTCTGCTGCATCTAATAGCAGCAGGGTGGGGTGGGAATTCCTAGTGACCTAGGAAGAGTTCTAGAATGTGCTAGTGCAGGCACTTTCGTATGAGGAAACGAGGAAACTAAGGTGAGAATCTAGGAAGTTTGTGGTGGCTTTTTAACATATGGGTATGTTGGTACACATAGCAGTGGTGGAGTTCATAGTGACCTAAGAAAAGTGTTAATATTACATCCCCGGCCGGCGGCGGAAATGTCAGGTAGTGCAACGTATGGATATTAGATCATACCAATGTTGCAGAAAACGCTAGACGTTAGCTAGTCGGTCAACTGGGGTCTAGGGATTAATCGGATATGTGGGGATTAATCGGGGATTAATCGGAGACCATTAATTATTAAGAAAAGTATTCAAAAGTTTATAAATCTAACTTTAATCCTAAAAATATAAGTAAATAAGCATAAAAATTTCATAATAAGTTTAATCCCCGTCACTTGATTTTGTTCCCAAAATATCCTTTTGAGTAATGCATCCAATCGGTTGCTGCCAAAAGCTATTTAATTTAACCTGCAATATCAATATGATCCTTAATCACCAAACAATATGATCCTTAAATTCAACACCCAATAGCCCATACGAGTAATTATAATCAACCAAATTTAGGATGCTCACATCATGCTTAAAAAACAACTTCAAGTGTTTTACAACATAACAATTTACCTGTTAAGTTAACAGGGGAAGAGACTAAAATCGCCAAAATACAAATTAGAATCAAGCAATAATAGAGCTAATGTTGGTAAGTTGGTATACTTGTTTAACCAAAATCTAATGTTAGTATACATGTTAACATCTGTTTACAGCATAAATCATGTTTGTTTACACTCCGAATAAACCAAAATAAGCTTTGATTTGAGAGACATGGTCTCTCCTTTGGATTCCTTAATAGCCTGTTAAAAGAGTACACAAGAAGATATATGGTAAGAATAGATCCAATCTGGAAAATAATCAAAGCTAAACGCATAAAGAAACCGATCACCAAACAAACCTTTGAGCAAGCCAGGTGATATTAGTGATGTGTAAACCAAAATCAATAATCAAACACGTAATCGAAAATAGAAGAAAAACATATTGACCAGTTGAAAAACAAATCTGGGTTTTCATTCCTTTCCAAGCTCCAATCAATACGGGCCTTCCTTCAAAACGAGGCTGTAATCATGGCGACTGTGGTGACTTTTCTGGAAGCAGGTCTCAAGATGAGTTTTAGCTTTACAGCTTATATGATAAGTTTCATGAAGAAAGAACCAAAAGTAGCTTGAGAAGAACTAACCTTTGTCGATGAGTATTTCGAAGTCGAGAAGATCTAATCTGGAGTAGTACACAGCGTCGGAGGAGAAGGCGACTGCGTATTTTGTACACAGAGGTATTTCGAAGTCGAGAATGCCACGACGATGTACCGGAGCAAAAGGCGACGAAGATGTAGCAGAGCAAAAGGCGAGAATGCGACCGTCAGTGGTTCAATTTCTCAGTTCTTCATTGTTGAGTTGGGGGAGAATACATTTTCCCTGTAATGTTATAATGAGTTAGAAGAGGAACGAACCCTAGAAAAGTTTTCGGTTTGACACTTTTGCCCCCCAATTTATTTGAATCTCCGTTTACCGCGTTTGACCGGTTAGAGTGCCTAGATCCATTATGTCCGATTATCTCCGATTAAGTACGACTTTGACCGGCGTTGACCAAACCCGATTATAGTAACCGATTAGCAATAAACGTAAGCGGTAGAGGTCCGCCTAGCGGCTAGGCGCCGATTAATCGGCCGCCTAGGCCGATTTTTGCAACACTGGATCATACATTGAACAATACAAAACAATATAAAACATAAATATCACTTCCATTATGGCTAAAAATATTACATCAGAATATGATTATGAAATAATAAAATTTTGCTTACAAAGGTGCCTTAACAACTAGGCCTAACTATAACGATAATAAGCTTTTGGTAGCTTCATCGCTAAACCGCTGCTCCCGGAGGTGTTATCTTTCATCTCGTGGTTTCCAAGGAATACATGTGTTTTGAAAACGTCAACATAATGTTGGTGAGCTCACAGGTTTCAGTGTCATATCACTTGAAAATATTTTTTATGTGTAACTTTATTAAGTTAATAAAGTATTTTAATTTAAATTGTTAAGGTATCTCCTAATAGTATTTTACCATTTCTAGATATTAAACTTTTGATGATTTACTTTTTATCACATACTACCATTCTCTTTAGGTTTTCCTCTATAAAATGGAGTACTATATAATCTTATCACATATTGTTTATATTTTTTATTCCATAAGTATGCTATTGGATACTTCTATTTTTAGAGTAATTATACTTTTATTCCAGAAGTATGCTTGCGTAAGGTCATACTTCTATGTATAGTGATTAGGGATCTTTCGTGTGACAGATTAAGTTGGGAATATCATCCAAGCTTAATCTACATAACCGTTTTGTTTTATTAGTTTATTTATTATTTAATTTTATTAAATAGATATATCTTTAACAAAGCCAAACTGGCAGAATTGCGACATAATATCTAACCAATATACGTGAGGAGTGACGACGTGATATAATTTTCTTTGATATAATTTATATTTATAATTATATATATATATATATATATATATATATATATATATATATATATATATTTAACCTTATATATAATTATCTTTGCTTTGATATCTTTGATAGGTTCAGGTTAAGGATAAAACTCAATAACACATTAACCTTAGGTCTTTTATCTTTTCTTTAACTTTCCTACTTAATAATTTTCTATAATTATCATAATATAACTCTTTTGCTTTATATTTGATATTATAACGTATAGATCTCATAATTTTCTTGTACATATATATAGATATATATATATATATATATATATATATATTATATATATATATAATTTTGTCATACATATATACCTTAATTATGGTTAATTTGAAAACAGAATACTTGGGCAGAGTAACGATTATGTACAATAAATATCAATATATTTGATCAGCATTACTTCTAGGTACTATGTTATCCTAGGAAATTGGTCAGTAACGATTAGGTACAGTACATATCCATATATTTCATCAGCATTACTTCTAGATATTATGTTATCCATATAATCTTTTCCTGGTATATCGGGTAGCATAGAGACTAAGCATAATATCATTGATTAAGACTAGGTAGAGTTTCTATCGGCATATTATCCTAACGTATTTATCACATAAACTACTAATATATTACAAATAATAATATTTTGTAAAATAGATACAGTAGTTTTATAACATGTCCCCCACCCCCCATATTTTATAGAACGATAGAAAAAGGGGTTGTGAAACTCACTTTTGAAGCGTGATATCGCTGATGTAGGTTAGAATCGGGACTCGGGACTCGAAGATCGCATCGGGATCGACCGGACTCGAGAATATAAAAATAATTATTAAAATATATATTTAATAAAATTTTCTAAGAATTTCATGAGGAATTTGAAGGAATCCTCGAAGAAAAACGAGAGAGAAATGAATAGAATTGAGTGAGTATCGAATGAGGGTTGTTGCGCCTTTATAGGCAAAAAACTAAAGTGTGCCCTTTGCAAAAGCTGTGCGCCCCGTGCAAATGGGAGGAGCCTAGAGGTGTGCCGTGTCACTTTCCTGGTGGTCCACGTCGCCCTTCTAGAAGATTGCACGCGTCACGACCTTTTTGCTTCTGGCGCATTTCGTAAAACTTTAAAAATCCGTAACTTCTTCATACGAACTCTGTTTTTGACGTTCTTTATATTCACGCGTAGACCTCAACGGGTACTACAACTTTCCTTTAGGTTGTATTGTCTAATTCCGAATTTTATTTTTAGCGCTTATTTTATATGATTTAATGATTTTGCAAAAAATTATAACTCTCTCGTACGGACTCTGATTTTGACGATCTTTTTATCAAATTTCATATCTTAAAGAGCACTACGATTTTCCTTTTGGTGACTTTACCCGAAAAGTCAACCATTCTTTCTGTAGCTTTTGACATTAATAGTTTTTATTATGCGGTTGATTTTTATATTTTACAAAAATCATAATTAATTCATACAGAGTCGGATTTTTATGAAATTTATATTTTTCGAATCAGGGTGACACGTACTTTCTAAATATATAATAAAATATATATGTTTTGGCGCACTAATTTTTACGACTTACGGACGATTCGGTTGATTTTTCCTATTTATCTTAATACGACACTTTATATTTCTATCATATATTGATATATATTATGTATTAAGATTTTTATACTCGACATTTGTCAATTTTCGTAAATAACGATCGGTGCCAAAAGTCGCAATTGTTACAGTTAAGGTTTTTTAGTGTGTGCATACATGTGAGAAGAATCCTAGAGGGACAGTCTAGGATTATCAGTAGTATGTGCTTGTGGGAGTATGGGTATCTGCGGTTAGTAGTGGATGTGTGTAGTGACTCAGGAACTTTGAGACAATTCTTAGGACACATACTAATAGGTGTGGAAGATAGTATGGTCCATACTACTGAAAGCACAGGATCCATATGAGGGTCAGGAAGATTCGAAAAGGTTTATAAGGAGCTAGTGCAAGGTAGATAGTGTGGTATAGAACTAGTGTTAATTATAGTCGTTTCCTTCGGTGCTTGTCTTTCGATGATTGTCGTCCAGGATGAAGGCGAGTCTGGTCATTATTCGGGCATTAGTGGCCAATAAAGATTGGATTTGATTAGTGTAGACATGTGTGAGTTAGTTGATTCAAAGGTCTTGATGGCCTTGTACAAAGTAGTGCCAGTAGAGTCGCGAGACGTAAGTATGAAGCGATTGTGATGATCGACTTGAAGACTGCAGCCTGAGGCTGGGTGGTCGGCTGATGTCTTTGTATGTAGTTTTCTACTATAGGTTTATGTTTCTCCAGCATGCCACGTTCGAAGGAAAGAGAGAGTTGGCATATGATTTCGGATTTGAGGTGTAGTGCCAACACGAGGTTGATGAGCGGGTGCAGGGTCAGATACCGTCAGTGGATAGAGATTCATGTTGTTATAGCAGGTTTGTTAGAACTATTAAGCATATGTAAGTTTAATGGAGCAAAGTTCAATTCTTGAGGTGCCTTGTGAATCAAGTTGGTATCGGAATCCACCATGTTCGCGGAGAATTTAAGGATTGGTCAGATTGTGGGTGCAGATCAAGTTGTCGTTAGGTTTATGCCTTCAAGGATGCATGCATTGTCCTCGTAGTAGGAAAATGATGAGTAAGGAACTTGTTGTGGTCAGTAGTTCCTTTTTGAAGTGACAATGATCTTGATAGAGGGGCGTTGAACCACTCAAGTTATGCATCGGTTATAGAGAACATGGTTAGCCCATGGCATAGGTTAGTTATCTTTGTTCAATTTTGGGAATTGGTTAATTTTTTTATCAGCTTTAGGGTTTGATATGTGTATTTCTGCTCAGGCTCCTTCAGTAGTATAAGAGATCATTGGTCATTTCATTCATCGTTGACAGTTGAGGTTGTTTGAAGGTCTTGAGTTATGATTAATTGAAGGTGCAATTGATGCGTCAGCCCTTCGTTAAGTTTTGTAAACATATATCTTGGTCTCTATGTATGCATACTCTCGACCATTTGGTTGTGGAATTGTTGTTCCTAGAAGGCTTGAGTTGGCAGCTTTCTTTGGTTTCTGGGAATTTGGATGCCGGAGTGACGTTCTTCAGTTTTTTCAGGCGTGCGTGTGGCCTACATAGAGTCCAGTTTTGACATGTCGCGTCAGTTGGGTTGGTTTTGGATTGATTCGACCAGGGTGTGGGCAATATTTCTGGATAATTTTGGAATTCTTCTCCGAATTTGGAAGTTTTATTTGTCTATTTTTGCATTGGTGGGATCCATTAAACTTCTCTATCAAACTCTCTTCATCAATATCATAAAGACACTTTCCCTGACATTAGCAAACAAACAAACAAAAAACATTAACCCAACGCAAAGTAAAGAAAAGAGACATAGACATCACATAACTACCTCCTACTCCATTAAAATCATATCAATGTTGTTCAATTTTGATGTCTTCATGTATACGTGTTGCATATACAAACAAGAGCAAAATTGATTGCAGAAATCAACAACCAATAAACTATAATAATTAATGAACATAAACAAAATCAATAAAACAAAGATTATTATGATGTTTCATCTTAACCAAAACGCAAAAATCAATAACCAACAAACTATAAAGATGAATGAACATAAACAAATCGTTTCTTGAAAGATTGTCCAAGATGCCTCATTTATAAACGAAAAATGATTGGTTATTATAGCAGCTGGAAGATCAAAGGCTACAAAATACAATCCGTAATCGTAGCCAAATGAAGAGCCTCTCTAAATCGAACAACATGTCGAAAAACAAAGGCTTACCATAGGCTATTATAAACAAATTTAGGTGAATTACAGTAGTTATGTTGTAACGTCATGGATTTAACTCAATTTTTTTTCATTTATTTTAAAATCTTTTAGTGGCAAATGCAGCGGAAGACTGTAACCATCGTTTATTTCAAAAACA